ACAACATTGCCATGCTCTTTCACATTTCGACCTCACTTTCGCACTTCACGACAAGCAACAGGAGGTCCGTTTGGCGCTGGAACCTAATCACGACATTTTGGGGGACAACTTCGAGGTGAACTATCTGGGCGCAGACGGCAAGATTCGCAAGACGGAGTCGGTGGACCGCTCGGAACATCGCGTCTTCAGGGGCAAGACATTTATTCGACATGACGGCAACACCGAATGGACGCATGTCGGTTGGGCAAGAATCACCATCCATCGAGACGGCGCCGAGCCCATCTTCGAGGGCGCGTTCCGCATTGACGGCGACCCCCACCACGTGCTGACTGGATCCAACTACCGCCAACGGAAGCACCGCGAAGACCCCGATGCCCCGACCAGCCGGAACCCCGACGACTACATGGTGGTATGGAGGGACTCGGACATTCTTGATTACTACTACGACCGGGAGGATTTGAAGCGGGATGTCTTCGGCCGGACGTCATGCAACTCGGACAGCTTGGGCTTCAACGCAAAGTATGATCCTCTCGACGCACGGGGGCTCGAGCCTCTTCAATCCGTCGCCACGAACTCTCTTTTCGGACGCAACATCTTTGGACGACAAACCGACACTGGCAGCACCGGTAACAACGGTGCAGGTGTCAACTTGGTTTCTACCATTGGACAGACGAGCGGTTGCCCGACGACGCGCAAGATCGCGCTGCTGGGTGTTGCCACCGACTGCACTTACACGGCTGCTTTCAACTCGACCCAGTCTGTTAGATCCAACATCATCCAAGTGATCAACGCAGCGTCCGAGGTGTATGAGAGCACTTTCAATATCTCACTCGGAATCCAGAACCTGACTATTAGTGACGCCAACTGCCCGGGAACAGCCAGCTCCTCCGCGCCTTGGAACGTAGCATGCAGCAACAGCGTCACCATCACCGATCGACTGAGTCTATTTTCCGCATGGCGCGGCAATTCCAAGGACACAAATGCCTTCTGGACCCTGTTGAGTACTTGTGGGACCGACTCTGCCGTCGGCCTCGCATGGCTGGGCCAGGCTTGTGTGAGCGGATCGCAATCTTCGGACAACGAGACTGTCGCTTCCGCAAACGTCGTCATTCAAACACCCAGTGAATGGCAGGTCATTGCTCACGAAGTCGGTCACACATTTGGCGCTGTGCACGACTGCACATCGGATACCTGCAGCAATGGCGATTCCAACTTGAACAGGTGTTGCCCGCTGAGCTCCAGCACTTGCAACGCGGCAGGACAGTACATTATGAACCCCTCTACAGCCACCGGTATCAAGGCATTTTCACCTTGCAGTATCGGTAACATCTGCTCTGGTCTTCTCCGCAACCAGGTGAAGTCGACGTGTCTTACAAACAACCGCGACGTCAAGACTATCCTTGAGAGCCAGTGCGGTAACGGTATTGTCGAGTCAGGCGAGGACTGCGATTGCGGCGGTGAAAATGGATGTGGCAGCAACAGCTGCTGTAACCCTACGACTTGCAAGTTTACCACCGGCTCGGTATGCGACCCCTCGAACGAGGACTGCTGCAACGGCCAGTGCCAGTTTGCCAGCAACGGAACTGTTTGCCGAGCGAGCACCGGCTCCTGCGATCCGGAGGAAGTATGCAGCGGCACTTCGTCCTCCTGCCCTACGGACAAGCACAAGGACGACGGAGACTCGTGCGGCAACTCCAGCGACGGCTTGACTTGCGCTTCAGGTCAATGCACCTCCCGCGATCAACAGTGCAAGACGGCCTGGGGTGCCCGGACGAACACCACCTCGGTCACTTCTTGTAGTAACCAGGACTGCTTGATTGCTTGCAATGTTCCGAGCATCGGGTCCGGTTGTGTGACCATGAACCAGAACTTCCTTGACGGAACTACGTGTCAGGGCAACGGCAAGTGCTCCAACGGACAGTGTGTTGGTTCCAATGCTGGTGATGAGATTCTGGACTGGATCAAGAACAACAAGGCCATCTTCATCCCCATAGTATGTGTAGTTGGTCTGCTTGTTCTCGTCGCCCTCTGCAGTTGCGTGTGCGGCGCCTGTCGTAGAAGCAGAAGCCGTACGCGTGCCAGGAGGCTCAAGCCCGTCCAGCCACCTATGGGAGGCTGGAACGGCTACGGAGGGGCTTGGGGTCAATCCAACGTGCCTCCGCCGCCCCCGGTGGCCACTCGTCCCGGTGCGCCTCCGCAATACGCACCATACCCTAACCAGGACTGGCAAATGCATAGAACGCAGAGCGCTAGATACGCATAATCTCATGTTGAAGAGATGACAGGATAGAGGGGCCCAAAGAGGTCCGGAAAAAGGAGGACTACAGTTATCCATCATTGCATTATTCGGAGTTGGTGGTGTTTACCATTTCATTTCTCATTTCGGCTTTCAAAAGTCCCATATCACTTAGCATGGGCATGCACACGTCACAGCCTAGGCAGTGTAATTGTGTAATTCATGATGGCTACGGTCTTGGATACCTGCGGATACCTAGATAGGGACAGAACATAACTTAGGTCAGCTGGCTGATCCAGTGCGGACACCAGCGACGACATTGTCACATCAATGACTAGACTTTGACCACGATTCCTTGGTAAACTTGCATGATTCGCTTTGAATGACACCTATTAACGCCGGCAACCAGATCGGTGACCCGTGACTTCATAACTCATGACTTGCGTGAGACCGTGACGGGATGATTCGTCCTTGTGCTTAAATCAATAACAACAGAGCCCTTCCCATGCCAAACCCCTCGACTGATTCTGGCAAAGCTCAATCCGCAGGAGAACTTTCGTGTTGATTTAAACCAACTCCAGCGCCCAACCCCTCGAGCTTGCTAACAGAACGTGACTGATGACGTTCATGTTCTTGTTGTCAATGGAGACCCAATCGAGCTTTCTCCCTGTACATATTAAGGACTTCGCCCGCGCAATCAGTGCCGACCAGCCCTATCACCTCCAGCGCTCCTACGCCGCGGATCACGCCTTGAGGCCGACGCCTTGCGAGGATCGTGCTGCTGCTGCTGCGGCGGCGTGTTGGTATCCAGACCGCACAGGATGCGCGTGAAGTGAAGCCTGGTGCCGGGGATGCTCTGCTCTCAAGCGTCAGTGGCCGGTGTCTCTCATTCATTCAGCAAGGCTATGTCCCAGGCAAGAGCGGGGGTGTTCCGGGCGGTCAACTTACGTCTCCTCGACTGCACGCGTACATGGCCAGCTTCTCGGGGTCGTCCAGGATCTCAATCGCAAACAGCTTCTGCCTGCGGTCCTCGAACGTGTCGCCATCGTCGCCGCCGCCGAGGCTGCCCACCTTGCCGGGGGCCCGGGGCGGCGACTCCATGCCCATGTCGCTGGGCGAGTACGGGTCCTTGCCGCGGGCCTGGCGGTCGCGCATCGCGGGGGTGAACTGGGGCTCCATCATCGGGCCGCCCGGGTGCGAGGACGAGGTTGAGGGTTGCTGCTGGGCGCCGGCAGGGTAGAAGCGTTGCTGGTGCTGCTGGTGGGGGCTGTAGTACTGGTTTGACATTTTGGACGGCTACTCCTGTGATTCTGTGTGTGGTATTGAGTTCCGAGGAAGGTATGCCTGGTGAGGTGAGGCTTGAGAAGGAGCGGTGACGGCTGCTGCTGCTTGTTTGCTCTTCCCTCTCTCTCACGTAGAGCAGGCAAGGAACGAACAAAGCGAGACGCAGTTACGAAGATATCTGCAAGAAAGGCAAGAGCCGAGTACAAGTGAAAGCTCGAGTCTCGCACAATGGATGGTTCCGCACCCGGGAGTGTCAAACGGACGAGGTCGCGGAACAAAGGTATTATCGATGCACGGATGTCGTTGCTGGTCGGCGGTTTGTAGTCCGCCCGCTTGTCGCGCGCGCTGGGGGGCTGGCTGCTGCGGCGCGGCGCGGGAATGGAGGAGGGGTCGGATCCGATGCGGGGCCACAGCAGCCTTTTTTTTTATCGCAAGCGCCTCTCCAGTGTGACCATACCCAGCCAGCATACCTTAATCCCCCGCGTTTGCACGATCGGTCGTGCTGGGTGGGTTTAGAGTTGATTGACTGACAGCCATTATGTTTCATGGAGAAGAAGTGCGCTGCCGTTGATTGAGTTTCTAGCCCAACCTAGCCACACAGCTGCATGAGGTTGAAATCGGGCAGAGCTTCTGCCAGGCCTTACGTGCCAAGGACATACTGCATAGCACGATGCCTTACTTTGATATGCTTTGCAAGGTAGTATTTTGTGGCTAGAGTCTATCTTGACGTCGAATAACGACAACGTCACTTTCAATTGTTGTGTGTCTCCAGGCCACAATGCTCCGAACGATGTGTGGCAAGATCTTTCGCGTCTGGCTCTTACTGCGGCGGACGGAATAAGGGCCATCTGTTTTGGACCTTCCAAAGCATGCCCGAATTGATGTAGCATTTCAAGTACACTGGCATCCCGTCAGCATCGCGACAATAATTGAGTAGTAACCTCCTTTGTTTTGCTTTTTTTTGTCATATCGGTTTGGTTGGTATATACAGGCATATTGTACAACGCGCTGACCCTGCGAGTGGCAAGTGATGTATCCCCCTCTCCCGCTTCCAGACAGACCCTTTTGAACAAAAAGACAACTCGACACGACGAAAGCGACCGAATTATCTACCGCTGCTCCCACTCTAAACCAACGCTGACTCCATCCTCTTTCTCTCCAGAAACCTGTAGATGAAGGTATGCGTATGCAAAATGGCAGCCGGCTCTCCCCAGCTCCCACCATTGAGGACCTGACCGCCTGGTATCCTCAGTAACAACACCGCCCGCGACGCCGGAAACCGTAGAATGTGTGGCCTAGGAAAGGAGCACGACCTGGATTGTCGTGTCTGAATGGCCTAGATGATGATGATAATGATGTAAACGCTCTGCCGCACGGGGTGCTTTGCCGTGCGAAACCGCGAGTTCTCTCATAGACTCTCAGTCGAGCATGTCGAAAATCATGATCGTAGATGTGTGAGCAAGCTCCTGGTTGCTGAGATTTACCGGCTGAAGTTTATGACAGCCAACTGGGAAATGTTAGACATGGTCGCAGCACTCAAACATCATGATGGTTACTTACTCGGCTGTTGGCTCCGTACGCGAGTCTCTGTCCATCAGCATCCCAACACAGACAGTGTTCATCCTCTTCCTCCGGCTCCGAGTTCGCCTTAGGGCTCAACCAGCCCGGATGTGGCGCCCTGCTCCAGCTCGCACGAGGCATCGTATGCTCTCCAACCTTCCAAATGAGAATGTGACCAGCGGTGGCTCCCGCAATGAAGGCTCCATCTGGAGTAAATGAGACAGCGACTATTGGTGACTCCATCGTGAAGTAGGACTTGGGTTTCTGATCTGGGAATTTGGCATTCCAAATGAGAATCGCGCAGTCGTCACCTCCAGTCGCAATGAGGCGCTCGTCTTCGGGCGGGCTTGAGTCGGCCGGCAGGGGTTGCCATTGCAGTGCGGTGATTGCACCAGAGTGAGCAGTTATGGACCGGCGCTGGCCGTTTTCATCCCAGAGCTAAAAAGGTTGTGTGAGCCGATCTTCACAGCACAGGCGTTTCGGGATACTTACATCAAGGATACCCTTGTCGCTTGATGTGGCAGCCAGCTTTGAGCGCCAGTCATACGCCACCTGGGTGAAAGTGTCGTCGTCCCGACTCTCAAACTTCTTGTTCGGCAGGATGGCCGTGTCGGTGCACCTCAGCGACAGCATCACGTCGCCGCCGGTGAGGAGGAACTCTGTCTCGCTTGTCCATGCTGCGTCGAGCGGCCAATTGAGCAGATCGTGGTTCGGGAGGAAATAAGACAAGGTGGCCGAGGTCAGTGAGTGATAGACAGTGACCAGCGCGCCCCCGTTGCCATTGCCGTTGCTGTTATCGGGGGCAATGGCCAGCAGAGCGGCGTCGCTTGGGCTCCAACGGAGCTTGATCACCGGAGGGTCCGAGACGTCGAACTTGTCGACATGCGAGCCGTCCTTGGCCCAGATGTGAACAGATGCCTTGTCGCCGTACTCGGCCGCGATAGCGATGGCTGTTCCCCCCCAGTTCCAGGCAAGCTGACCGACAGTTGCTGACTTTGGAGTCTCGTCGTCCATGAGACTGTGGTAAGGGCGATGGACGCCATGCACGTGACCGTCGGACTCGGAATCAGGCGCAGGCGTCATAGTGCTTGAACGTGAAATGGTCCAAATCCGGGCTAGCGCATCGGTTCCAGCAGCCGCCAAGATGGATGGGTCCTTGGGGTTCCACTCGCAGCGCAACAAGATGGGTGCATTTTCACCGTTGGCTGGCGAGGGCGAAGCGGCACCGGTCGCTGCGGTAGTCGTCGCGGCGGCGCCGTCCTGCGGGTTGCTGGCGGTGGAAGTGGTGTCATCGGGCATTAATCGCAAAAACGTCGTCTCTGTTGCCAATTCCTGGACTTTGTCGACCTGCGTGCCCTGCTCGGGGCCATCTGTTCTCGGAGTGGGCGTCGGAGCTTGTTCGCCTTCCAGGGGCGACGGGTAGGCGTGGTTGTTGTCCCCGTGGTTGTCTAGCTCCATGGGGTCCGTGGCTGCATCCGCCCCATTCGTGCTTTCGTACCCATTGCTGAGCCTGGGCCGCTTGCTGGGTGAGCCGCCATTCACCAGGTGCTGCTGTGGCCGGCTGTCAAGTTGGCGTTTTCGAGAGTTTTCGACCTCCATTTCCGTGTCGTCTACCTCCCCATCCGCGTCCTCATCCTCCTCGATCTTGTGAGGCGGCTGGGGGATCAATGGCCCAAACAACCCCACCTGCAAAGCTTCGGCCGCTGCCGCTGCATCTTGAGGCACCTGCTGCACGCGCAAAAAAAAAAAAGTGTCAGTTTGCTGTTCGTACGTTACGTTGCCCACACCCACATCTCCGTCCATCCTTTGGTCGCCTCGGGCTGCGCTGCCGCCATCACCCTCGGCGCCGGGGGAGAAGACGAAGAGGCGAGTGCCAGCCACACGTCGGTCGGATGCGAATTGGGTTACCTTAGTTGCGTGTTCCCTCTCAAGGGCTTGGTAGCAGAGGCCTTTGTTGATGACGGAGACCAATGCATGACTCTTGACGTGGTTTGCGAAATCAAATTGGCGATGAGGTTGCTGAACGTGCCACTCCTTCTGGAACTTGGCTGCGGTCTCGCGGTAATCTGCAAACGTTAGAAAAACAAGCCACGGCCCACCCCCAGCTGTCGCTGACGGGTGTGTCTGGACGATCAACACATACTGCTCTCCAAGAGGTATCTGGGGCCGACACGTTAGCAATGCCATCGGGGGGACTCTGGTCGCGAGAGAGTCGCTGCAAGTAGGGGAGGGGGGAAACGTGACGGAGTGCAAAGGGCAAAGTCGTGAGGTGAGAGTGAGGTGCGCGACTGTGTGTTCCGGCGTGCGGTGGTGGGTGTGGGTGAGACGCAAAAAGGGTGAACTCACCTCCAGACGAGGAAGTTGACTCTGTCCGAGTCGAGGAATTCCTTGGTGACCATGCCGCGCGGTGCCGCAATGGGCGGCGTATCGAAGTCCGGATCTGTGAGATGAATCGATGAGAATGCCGACAAGGTCCTTCTTGGGCGTGTTTCGGTGCGTCGTCGAGGGAGCGTCTGTCGCGGAATCGTATCGTCGTTTTCAAGATGAGAGGAAAGATTGAAGATTGAAGAAGCCCGCAAGAGTGGATGAAATGGAAGGATGGGCGAATCTGAATCTGGCGGTACGTAGGCAAGGTACCTTGTTAGGCGAGACCAGGCGTGAGGCGTGGCGCTAGTCCCAGCAGCCCAGCCAGTGCCCGCCATTGAATCCAACTGGTGCTGCCTCTACTACTGGTGCCGCTACCGCTACTACACTACCAGTACCACTACTGCCTTGCCTCTGGACCACCTATCTCACGCTCGCACTCATACTCACACTCACACTCACTCTCATCATCCTCGCTTTACCTTTAAAAAGGGTACGTACCGCGACATCCTTCCTTTCCTTACCTTAGCATCCTAGCGTCTTTCACCGGCCTACGGACGTCGACTAGGACTGGGGGAGAAAGAGACAGGCACACTGACTGATGGCTCTTGTACCTAGGAGAGACACAGGAGAGAAGTGCGACTGGGACAGGACGGGCACAAGTCATACATTCCTTACGCACACACTTTCAGCTTCTTTTCGTCCATCTGTCTTTCGTTCTCGCGCGGCCGCGACAGCAGGCACATGGCTGAGGTGTTTGGCTTTGGCTTTGGCGTTGGCGTTCATCGGCCGTCTTCCCACCCGCGCCGGCTAGGGTTGCTTCTGGTTGTTCGAGGCTTCCACGCCCATTTCAATCTCCAATCGCCTTCGTCCCTCCCCCCCAGCCCGGCTTTTGGACGGATGGCACTGCAATTCAACGCTGCTGCAAATCTGCGCACAAAACCCAAGTCGCAGGACACGCACGGCAGGGAACCGCCCAAAGGGGGAGAGGACCAGCCTGAGGCCCTGGTCCCCCGGTCGGGGCTTCACGAGTCCCAGGGAACAGTGATGAATGAACGAGCGCAGCCGGCATCAACCAGACACAATTGTTGGAGACTTCCCATCGACTGGGACGGGACGCTGAAGTTGGAGGAACAAAAGAGAGAGTACGTACCGTCGACAGAAGCTACGTACCTACCTACGTCGGACGGGAGTGGAGTCGCCTCAAATGCATGATCTAACGTACTCAACCTTCAGCGTACCTTTGGGACCGTTCTCAAGATCCTTAATCCATTGCCGGGCCCTGTGCTGTTTTTGCACTCTGATTGAGATGAAGATAAACCTGGGAGGCCATCCGTTGATAGTGTTTGGCTTTTTGCTCTCGCCTTAGCCTTCTTCCCGAGGCCCAGGTTCATGTGAACCATAAACGCCCTCGTCATTCGTCACCCTCCAGGGGAACCAGGTGATGATGCTGTGTTTGTGCTGGGCTGGGCCGGCCGGGATGGGCTGAGCTGGCTGTATTTATCCCAGGTGGAGAGAATGGAACCCAGAGAGAAGCTCAAGCAGCGGAGGGCCAGCCGGTACGGGTGCGGGCGGGCTTCGAGAAAACGATAATTCTCTGTTTAATCCCGTGGTCCCGTCCATCAATTTGTTGTTGTGGTCCATCAGATTTGGGGGTGGTGTTTGGGGCTACGACTAAAGACAGGGTTCCGGGAGAGCCACATTTGGGGACTTGGAGGTGGCCCTGACACCCAGTCACAATGCCGCCCCTTGCGCCCTGTCTGAGGTACTTTGTGTGTCGCTGTGCCGTCGTCGCCCGTACCTTGGCCAGCCCGCCGGGTACCTCGCGCGTGCCTGATGTCCGGAGCGCATTTTGCACTGCATCTCTCGCGGTTGGCGATAATGTTCGATGGTCCCTCCGCGCTGTCGTGTAATGTTGGCAAGCGACAGGCGACAGTCACGCTCCCCGTCGGCAGGCAGTGCGCAAGCGTGGCTCATTTCCAGGTTCGGTCCAGTCCAGGGGGAGGGGGCTCGCATATCCTTGATCGCGTTCCCTCTCATCCTCCGCGACGATCTTCACGTCTGGCCACCGTGGGTGCGCACTGGAGGAAGCGACTGTGTTATGTATACGTATCGGCCTCTGGAGACGGCGCTGCTGTGCGTGACCGCATCAAAAGGAAAAAAAACTCGATCGTTTCAGGGGTCCAGAACAAGCAAGACACTGTGGATGCCGGGCTCTTCCTGGCACAGGGCCGGACAGCTGGAGGACGGCTGCAGACGTTGGAGGTACATTGAAAAAGTACATTGGAACATGTTCTCACGATATGCACAGATTGGCTGGCTGCCTGGGAAGAGATGAGCCCCCTCAAAACCCACCTTATGTAATACCTCTCCCCAGTTTCCTGGAGCAATGGAAACGCAGAATTGGCTCCAAGGTCGCGCTGCGCTGATCAACCGTCCATCTGACTCTTGTCGTCGGCACAGAGGGACGCTGCGCGGCGGCATTCCCACAACTGTTGCGCGCGCCATTCGGTCGCTTCCAATGCATTTGCGCCAGTCAAATCAATCTTTGTGTCACCATTGATGACCCTCTCCGTGCTCCGTCCGTCGGCTCACCCTCCCGTGTCATCGTTGAATTCCACCACGATCCCCACCTCACCGGTCGTAGGTGCAAAGGAGAGACACGGTCTTTTCGTCTCGAACCGGTTCCAATCTTAACTTCTGGCCCCAAACCCTGTGCTAGCCAGTCGCCAAGAGGCGTAAAAATAAGCTGCCTTCGACAGTGAGCGGAAGCACCCCCGTGAGTCCGGAAGAACAGAGCAAGCATGCCTTCGAAGGCCTCAAAAGGGCAGGACAGGCACTGGCACCCGCGTCCGCACCAGCTTGGGGTGCTTGTTTGCTCTGGCGCTGGTGCAGCGCAGTGCAGCACGCTGCGCAGTGTCCTGACGTCTCCGCCCAACCATCTCTGGAATGCGGCGCGGCCTAGCGTGGTGTAGCTTGCCTTTGTATGCACAAGTCGATACCGTACATGCTCTTCTCTTTTCGCCCCATGCGGCCACTGCCCTGGAGGCTAATGCCGAGAGAGGGCCGCGCCTCTTGGGGCTGCAGCCCGCGCAGATGGGCAGCGGTTTGTCGTCTGTTTCCAATTCCTACCCGTCGTGTACGTACCCTGGAAGACAAGGCAAGGTACGGTCCCGAGTGGGGGATTCCAATCATGACAGCAGCTGGGGTTCGAGGTAGTGTTGTGCAGGACGGTGTGTTAGAAATGCCTCTCGGTAAGGCGAGCCATCCCACGCTTAGAGGGCGTGGTGACGGCAAGGAAATGCCATTATCGGTTGATGCGACGGGCATCATGTTTTCCTGTGCTCCCCTCCGTCTCCCTCATCGACTTCTCGTCGACTCGCCAGTCTCTTGTGTGTGTACGTGGCATTGCCCATCAAGGGGCCTTCCCTGGCGGGAACTGCTGGCTGCGAGGCGCCCTGGGTGGGTGTGGACAAGGATGTGATGGCTGCATGGCCTTCGATCTTTAATAGCTCCGGGGACTTCTTCAGGGCCCCCTGCCACCGCTTGTCTGTGACCACTGGTTACTAGCCACTCACACCGGCACATCAGGCCAAGCCGAATGGGAGCTGGTTTTGTGGTCAAACTCCATCCCGTCAACGTCGGCCAACGTTTTGGTGTTCGGAAACACCCCTGGGAACGGCAGGCCGCTCATCATTCAGAGGCGCTTCTGAGCACAGAGGCCAAACCCTAGCCATCCTGGCACGGACGCCATTGATCCTGAGGCCGGTGCTGATGCTGATTCTCTTTTCCGAGACCGTCTAATCAATGGCGACATGCATCCCAGCGTGATGTCCGCCTGCGTCTGGGGTATTTTATGACGCCGGGGTTTGTCGGTCCTTACCCGCTGGGCAAGAGGGGACGGTAAATTGACGACCACTCTGCAGATGACATGCGATCGATAGGGTGGCGATAAACCCACCAAATTGAAGACTTTCCATGCCCTTCGTGATGACCATGGCACACATGGCCAAAGCAGCGGCCTGCTTTTTTGCTAGTGTCATTGGCCGAGCCAACCTAACTGTAGCCAAGCAATGAATGATCTAGCTGGCTTCTCTGACGGTCCAAGGGGGGGCCGTCCGAGGTTTGCGGCACCGTCCGAAGGCGCCCAGGGGCCATGATCTCGAGTCAGTTCCACCTCTAGAACCCTCACCAAAAGTGCCTTCAAATTTGGGCCGGGAGACCTTGGGGAAGCGAGAGTGTCCAACACGCCTCAGCATTCCTCGCGTAGCTGACCAGCGTTGAATGGTCTTTTCTTCAATTCTGGTCTTGGCCAGGCTGATAAGGAGACCCAACAAGCAAAGCCTACTGCCGAGAGGCCGGACGGTGGCACAAGTGGGAAGGGAAAAGGGTGGATGACGGCGGCTTCTGCTGACACGGCCGGGCTGGGCTGGCGTTCAACCGAACCAAGTGCCCTTGGAGTGCCCTGCAGGGATGGAGCCACGAGATCTCCCGTTTCGACCGCATCGAGTACTTGTCGGCTCCACCAGTGGAACACTCCCACGCCCCTCCAAGCCCGTTCGTCGCCCTGCAGATGAAAAACTCTGGGGCCTGCTTGTGCTGTTTGTGCGTCTGTCTGCTGCTGCTTGTTGCTGCTGGCTGCTGCCTCGTGCACCGCAGCACACCTCCGAATCAACCGAATGTCGGGGCTGCTTCTTGAGTAAGGGCCTCCGAGTTCTGGCACCTAGAAGGCGGCTGAGAGATGGACCGTCGTTAAGGATCTGACAGGCTGAGCAGACGTACATCGAGCTCTGGAGAGGGAGTCCGGGGGGAACGTGGCTCGAAACACCTCAAGATAGGTACGGGGTACGTACCCTTGAAACCTCAAAAGGCTGCTGCCCGTGTCAATTCCCGCCAAAATGGGTCTGCATGGCCAGTGCGCTAAGCTCCCAGGCCCTTGGCCCAGTCAGGCTTAGCTCTTCTCTGGAACAACTATCTCCCGCTCTCTAGCTCCACTGAAACGACCCCGGGCTGCCATACCAAAGTGTCCCCTTAGGTGAGGCTCTACGGATGGGAAAGCTGGACGGCCAAAAACCGAGCTCGTCCTATCACGAAACCCACCCTAGATGCGCTGTTGACGTTCGCCGTCCGACCGGAAGCTGTACCCAAGATGCCGCCCCGAATCAACATCCCCCCGGTCACCCGTGGCCTCCTGGCCGTGCTCGTATTGCAGTCTTTCTTGAGTGCTGCGATCCGCTATCGCCAGTGGAGCGCAACCTCAGAGATCGTGATACCCTACCTCACGCTCATCCCTCAGCTCTCCCTTATTTACCCGTGGACCTTCTTGACCTCAACATTGGTTGAGAATAACATCTTCACGCTAGGCATTGCCGGAGTAACCATATACCATGGCGGAAGATATCTCGAGAGAGCTTGGTCGTCGGCGGAGCTGGCCAAGTTTGTTGCCATCACAGCTCTGATCCCGAATACCCTCACATTTGCGACCATGATCGTCTTTTTCACTCTGACGAGGAACGAGCGTTGGACGTATGTAGAGCTCTCTCTTACAAGAAAAGCCGGAAGCTCCGAGGCTAACCCAGCTCCAAACAGACTCACCGTCATTGGTGGCACGATTCCGATGCAAATATCCTTCCTCGTCGCTTTCAGTCAGCTCGTCCCGGCGCACACTGTCACCCTCTTCCGTGGCATTCTCTCCATGCGAGTCCCGAGATTCCCGCTCGTGTACCTCGGAATTGTGCTTGCGCTCACCCTGACGCCGCTTCTGACGACCGCCTCCTTCTCCCTTGCTGTGACCGGCTTCCTCACCAGCTGGACCTACCTCCGTTTCTACAAGAAGGTCTTCCCCGACCTCGATGCCTCGCAGCCAACATCGATGCGCGGAGACGCCAGCGAGACTTTTGCCTTTGCCGAGTTCTTCCCCAGCCCCGCCAAACCGTTCGTGGCCGCGCTCTCTTCCCAAATCTTCGAGGTCCTCGTCGCGATGCGGATATGCAGCCCGTTCTCTGCCGACAACATGTCCGGGGGACGCGGGAATAACTACATCCAACGTAGCGCCCCCGGCGGCGCAAGAGCGGAAGCGGAGCGGAGACGCGCGCTCGCCCTCAAGACACTCGATCAAAGACTCCACGCGGCGACGGCCAACGCGGCGGCGCGCTCGTCCTCACAGCCCCCGGCGCAGCAACCCACGGGGCCAACGGTGCAGACGCAACCCGCACCCAACACGCAGACGGCCATGACCACTGGGCCGACCGAGATGTTGGGGGAGACAAATTACACCCCCGAGCAGGACTCGAACGACAAGAACGGATCATAGGGGCATGAATGGGGAGTGGCCTTGGCTTGAAATCAGTTCTTGGGCCATGTGGTTTCAACGGGGAAAAAGGGCGATTGGACAGAACGGTACGAATTGTACTCTTCAGTTGTGAATCAGGGAGTAACTTTAATTCCTTGCGGGTGTTTTCTTTGTTTCTCTCTTTCGGGCATCGGCGTCTACAGATGGATACCTGCGCGAGAAGTACAGTCGGTAGTTGGGCGGTCTTGGGATTATGAAAGAGAGAGGACCTCATTCAAGGTATAAGTGTAGTTTTACTTACAACGGACGGGGAATCGATGATGTACGTTTTTGCATTGGGGAAAGCTGGCACGTCTGTCCACAGATATGCCTTCGTCATTGTTCCGGTATCACTAACATCCGCGCGCGAGCATCCGTCCGTTTCCCATGTGCCATCCCTCACCCACGTGCCCTGCGTCATGTCGGTATATATCAGTTCGGTCCAGGTACTAGTTCAGTCCAGTCTCGTTCTCTCCCCTGTCGATTTGCTCCATCGGCACCCCCAACTGTCGTCGAGGTCCGAGTTGTGGGTGAACGGCTCCGAAGACGCAGGCCTGACTGGTGGTGGTTGTGCGGCGGACCGGTTTTCTGTCTTACACACAGCTGCAGCAAAAACAACTCTCGGACCTGGGTCGTAGAACATGACATAGGAAGAAAGCAAAAATTGGCGAACCCTCGGACGTATTCTGTTTCTCTTCCGATCTTTCTGCTCGCAGCTTTGTTTCCTCCTTTCTTTTTTACCCTTTTTTTCTTCCCTTCTGTCATTGATACATACGAGAGCGTCTGTGTGCAGACTCGGCTCGTGCTATCCGCCGTCGGGTCCCCGCGCCCCCCTCCTTCTATCTTCGTCCTTTTCTTTTGTCTCTTCGTTCGCTCGGCCGGAGAAGAGAAGCGAAGAAGGGAAAAAAGCCAGTGTGACAGCCAAACCCCGAACGACGATCGCCGGTCCGTGGGCGGCCGGGCAGATCCATCTGGGCCAAACTCCACCTTGCCTACGTGCCTGCGTTCCGTCTCGAACCCAGCGCCAAGGGGGACAAAAAGTCAAAGTGCGCCAATCTGGCGCCCTGCAGGCGTTGTTTGCGTACGTGTGTAACTTGACACTTCTTCCCATGCCTCATCTTTCTTGGGTGTGTGTGCGTGTGCGGTGTGTGTTTTTATCCGCCCCGTGGCAGCCAGCGGCTGGCGGAGTGCCCGCACTGATGCCCGGGCTTCCTACCTACGGCTACGGTACCTTTTCCTCCCCGATCATGGGAGGAAAATAGATGCCGGCCCATGTAAACGAACGTCAGTCCTTCAGATCCGCCCACCAAAGGGAGACGGACGCTGTTTAGAGTTTTGGCCCTTTTTTCAATTTTGCTTCTTTCGTCTGGCACCCAACCGCCGCTTGCTTCAGGGTCCGTGTTTCATTGTGTTCTGTAGTATTCTTCAGTGTTCCTCTGGCTGCTCGCTCCCCCCTGGTGTCTACATTAGCCGTTCAACCCACACACTGTCTGCTGCTGAGGACCCAGAAATGGAGGCTGACATTTGAGGCTTACACGCCAAGTCACCAAATGCCGTACCTGAATTCCACATCTTCGATCGGGAATGCGCAATTCCAATTTCCAGCGGGACATCGAAACTCAGTGCTGGGATGCGCTGGAATGTTGTCATGAGACTGCATTTCCCATTCTTTGCCATTCACTGCGTGCCTCTCACCCGTCGATGAGATAGATCTGATGGGACCAAAACCTCCACCTCTGTGTCAGCGATTTAGAGTTGCGGGTCTCGAAAACCGAGGAACGTCGAACCGTCGATCTTCGGGACCCATGCGTGTGTCAAAAGAAAGTGAATTTTAGAAAAGGTACGGGTAAAATGATAAAGGGCCAACGTGCGTGGGTGAGTGACGGGGACTTGCCTTTCCCTCTCCTAATCCTACCCTTCCCTTCGACTCTGAGGGCGAAGGAGGGTGTCAAGCAACATGAGGTAAGAGTGTTTGAAGGGGCGCACGGTAATCCGGAAAATGCATGGCGGTCAAGTTCTGGTCAGATCAAACGAGACGAAAGGGGGCCACGGAGAACGTGAACCGAAAATGAGAAAGCAAGAACAAGAACCCAAAAAAAGTGATCATCATCGATATCACTCGTATGGCATTCCTTGAAGCCTAATCGGTCTCTTCATCAACCATCTTTCCCCCTCCTGCGGGTTTACCTGTATCCCACTACACATCTCGTCTCACCATTTTAAGCTCTGCCATGATGGGCGCCGCCTTACCTAGAAGATGGCGCGCAAGGCGAATGGACCAAAGTCTGCCCAGACAACGTTATGCGATCACTGGACGATTAATGCTTTACCTCCGACCTTCCATGGATGGGAAAAGGGTGCGGGAGGATGCTTCCCCCGGGATCTTGGGATGCGTGCATGTGGTGCTGGATGATGGATGGCGACATGGATTTCATCAGTCTTGTTCATCCAGGCCCCCCTCCTCCCACCTTTCAAACCCCCGGATGACGGGCGATGTAGAAGATGGGCGCGCGACGGCGGGAAACTCTGAACATGACGCATGAACCTCGGGGGCCCTCCCCTCTGCATGACACGGCCGTGGGAAAGGGTAAATAGGTCAAGGAACCCTTGATCGTCCCGTCTCCGTCTGCTTCTCCAAAAGTGTATTGCGTTCTTCCTCAAATCAACCCAACGTCTTCTTGCGTCCCTTCTTTTGGCTGGCTGTTGTAGCAAGCGAGCCGATTGTGCCTGTGTGGTGGGTGTTGTATGATGCGTGTGTGTGTGTGTGTGTGTGTGTGTGTGTGTGTGTGTGTGTGTGTGGTGTCTTTGGTCAATGCATGCATGTAATGTACACGCACCAACGCACGCTCACACACACTCTCTCTCTACGAGTCTCGACACAAGCAATTACGTATGCTTTAGAGGGAACGGAGCGAACGGGAAAGGCGGTTCTCACGAGTCGCTCACTGCCGCTCCTCCAACGCTGATTGGCTTGAACAATCAATCACTTTACAGATCATATCTCTAGTCGTGTGGTGTATTCCGGAAAAACCATGGAAGCCGGAGATGACAGCAGCCTGATTGGACGCTACGCCATCGAATGGGGCGACGTGGTTGGGGAGAAGCAACCGGACGCGTCAAAACGCCCAGAATTTGGGCACCTGGAATCTCGGGCCAATAGTCTGGAACATCTCAATCACGTCGACGGCATGCGCCGATCTCTGGGTACGTACAACGTAGCGGCGGCATGGCGTAGCGTTGCCTTAGGCGAGAGTGGAGCACTGGAGAGGAGGCGGCTTGTGGCTTGGGTGAGGGAAAAGGGAAAGGGCCGGGCAGGAAAAGAAGGAAAAAAATTAGGGAAAAAAAGGTTTCTGCCGATGTAGCGGTAGCCGGCCGAGCCAATCACAGCTGGGACGTGATATTGCCGGGTTCACACAGGTTTTGGCGTGCGGACATGGGCGTGAGAGGGGATGACGAGGGAATGGATGGGCCCCACAATCAGCACGCCTTATTCAGCAGGTGCTTAACGTTCCTCAGAACCGACGGGGCACTGGACATCTGGGAGGTGACCCTGTTTGCGCGTGTGTGTTGTGTTGTGTTGGTTGCCTTGAGATTCAGGGTCGCCAGCGGTGCGGTCAGTGCGGCGTGGTATCTGGCGATGTTCCCATTGCCGGTTAATGATACGGTTCATCACGGCTCTGATAGGTGGCCCCTACTTGATGCGGAGGGAACGAGGGGGGAGCCACTGAGCATCTCCGACGAGATGAAAAAAAAAGAACACGACAAGAAGAAAAGAAAGGCACCGTCGGGCAGGCTTGGCTTGGCTTGGCTTTTGGGGCCCGCCGCCCGCGTTGATGATGATGACTTGGCTTTGGCTGAGTCGGCTTCCCCGTGGCGCGTGCAGCCCCTTGCGCCTGTGGCTCGTGAGCTGCGTTGAGGTGTGGATGGGCCGCTGCCAGGCTTGGGCTGGGCTGCATCATCTGTCTCACCTTGCAATTCGCTCCCATGTTCCACAGCCCTCGCAGGAATGTGGAATGTGCGCCCGCGCAGCCAAGAATGGTTCATTTGCAGGCGAAGGCACCGGCATGTCTGGCTTAGTTGAGGATGGCCCAGGAAAAAGAAACCGCTGCGGCAGCATTGCTTGGGAACCAATCCGTCTTGGCCAGAACCCAGGTTTAAATAGCATCTCCGTACGTGCTGCACACCGGACAAGGAGACGAAGAAGAAGCATACCCAACGCCAAGACATGGACATCGTGGCAGCGGTGTCGTGCGATGGCTTGATGCGGCGGCGGGATGCGGGTGTTTGAGATGCCCGCGCTTTGCGCCCAGCCCAGCGATTCGATCTGCAAGTATCCATGCGGGAGTTCCTTTTTCTGTCCGCTCGCTGGCGCCGGCAGCCAACAAGTGCCATCCTTCTATGCCCTTCAAGAGGAGGTGGGAGACGAAAGCGACGGCCTGGATGTCGCGACAAACACGTATGCCGTACGTCTTGTCTCGGACCGGGAAGACCAGTCCAACCTTGACGACGTGGGAGATGGGACGGTTTGCGATGGGGGCCACGGCCGTCGGGGATAGGCTCGCCTCTTTGGAGACAAGCTCACGTGTGATGGTTGCCGACAGGACCGAGTCGTCCCCAGTTGTTCCAGTCCCCGCCGTTTCCTTTCACCGCATGACGGGCCCTGGCGAGCGTTGAGACTTACGTACATGATGGGGGAAGGGCTGGGCTAGGTATCCGTAGACATCGTGGCCGGAGGGCGGCACCAGCCAAGCCCTTCCCTGAGTGGGCTTGGTCTGTGGACTGCGCTCCTCTCAAAGAGTTGAGGCAAAAAAAAAAAGGAGATGATGTCCTGAGCCTGGGTCCTGGGTCCTGGGTCCTGGCGCATGGGGTTTCCGAGCGACGACGGCGCAGCAGCAGCAGGCAGCCCGAAAGAGGAACCTGGCACCGGGAGGGAGGACAAGGAGAATTTTTGAACTTGTCGATTTTTATTATCCGCTTGCTCG